CGCTGGGCGTAGGTGGCGAGCCCTTCGCTCAGCCACATCTCCTCCCAGGTGGCGTTGGTGACGGCGTTGCCGAACCAGCCGTGGGCGATCTCGTGGATGACGTCGATCAGCAGGAACTCGCTGCTCTCCAGGATGGAGGCGATGATGAAGGTGAGGCAGGGGTTCTCCATGGCGACGATGGGGAAGGAGGGGGGGAGGAAGACGATGTCACACCTGAGGATCAGCTCGGTCAGTGCTGCTGTCGTCACCGGCGTTTTAAATAAAGCTCTGTTGGCGTTTAAAGGCTCACCTGCCCCACAGGTAAGGTCCGAACAGGTCCTCGGCGACGCCCAGCCAGCGCTCCACGCTGCCCCCTAGCTTCTTCACCGCACAGGACAGCAGACATGGCTCCGCCCACACACGACTCCTGGAAGGAGATTGAACGAATTCTAACAAAACACACTTCAAATATTTTAATATTATTTTTCTGATGTTTATTTTTCGGGGGGAAAGTCACTGATGCTTCACAGGTATAAAAGATTTTTAGAAATATTTAAAAGTAATTTCTAGAATTTTACAGATATTCTGGGGATTTTTTTTCTCAGATGTTTTACCAGTAGTTCTATATTTCTTGATTTCAGGATTCTTTTTCTCAGAATTTTAATTAATGTCTTAATAACATCATTACGATATTTGACAAATTATTGCTTTGGGAAATTTTTGGATATATATAAAGATATTTATATCATCAGATGTTTGAGTATTATTTTTCTGAGATTTTAGCAATATTTTGAGATATTTGTGATTTTAGTAATATGTGTGATATTTACAAATACTTCTTTGGTTATCTCAGTGATGTTTTTATGATTTTATGGATATTTTTGGCATATAGCTCTCATTTAAAAAAAAAAAACATTTTAATTCTATCATTCAGACATTTATATTTTTCCCAGATTCAACATATTTTCACATATTTTATTCATGTCTGTTTTACTGACACTAATCACGTGTAACTAATTTTTGCATCATTCAAACATTTTCTCATATTTATCTAATAATCATTTTAATTAATAATCTGCACACATTCAGGTCACTTTTTGCTGATCAATCAATCTCATGTGAGAAACTTTGAGTATTAACGTTTTTCTGCAGCTGACAATAAGACCTTCACAAACTCTGGTGTTTTCTATTTTTCTTTCCAATCGGACCGTCCAGGCGGAACCGACCTCGGCCCGACGTCGACGTGCTGCAGCTCTCCGGCCACCAGCGCCACCAGGTAGGACGGGACGGGGTACTCCATGGAGAACTGGAAGACTCGGTCCTGTTTGGAATAGGAACTCCGAGACGCACTCATCAGAACCGTGACTCCGTCCGGGACCTGAGGAGGAAGAACGAGACGTTATATTAATGTAGACGGAATGAAACGCGTCTCTTTCTATTTGAAGGTCATTTTCTAGTTTTGAAATCATATTTTGCCCAAATTTTTATCAATATTTCAAAACTTCTACTTTGATATTTAATGTTTTTTTTTAAGTATTGTCCTGTGCACTGGAACATGTCACTGATCCATCTCTTGATATAACTAATATATATATGTTTGGATTTTTGTTATTTGAATAATATTTAAATATTAATTTATTTTTCAATTCACCACTATTAATTAAAATAATACTATTAATTAGATATTTAGCACATTTTTGTTGGATATTTTAGTAATATTTGGGGACCATATTTTCACTAATGTTTCTGATATTTTTGTTGTATTTCTTTCATCATCTTTCAAATACGTCTTTCCAGGGATTTTATTATATTCTTATTTAAATTGACTTACTTTAATCTATTTTTCTTACATCCGTCACATGCCAGCTAGCCTCTCCTGCAGCCACTAGTTGATCTTATTTAAATTCTGCTGCGTCCTGTTTTCTTCCTGTTGATCTAATGAGACCAAATATGTTCTCAGTTGATTTAATCTTCTGATTAAACGGGAAAGTGAGCAGGACACACAGGCCAACAGAGAAACAACCTCCACCCATCGTTCAGGTCTTTTCCCTGCTGTGGCTGCAGCTGGTTCTGGAGCTAAAGCTGATTTGTGGACCTGAAGGTCGGGGGTCCGGACTCACCCGGACCGTGGCGGTGTAGGTGCTCTTCACAGCCGGCGTGTCGAAGCAGGGGAAGAAGGAGCGGTTGCACACCGAGTGGCCCTGAGTGAAGACCAGAGGACGAGTCTGTCCACAGGTCAGCTCCGAGTCCAGCCACCAGATCTGAGGACGGACAGAACCAGGATCAGGATCAGTACCGGGGTCTCAGAGTTACAGCTACATCCAACCGTCTCCATCAGGAAGCGACTGAATCTGCAGCCGGACCAAGAGTCCAAACGTCCTGCCAGAATCTGAAAGAACCTTCAATCGATGGTCTGGACCCGACCGAGTCCTGAACACAGCATCACGAAGTCTGAGTCTAGCATAAATTAGATCCAAAACCAGTCTAAGGCCAAGTCCAAAATCAATCCAAGCCCAAACCCAGTCCAAAACTAAGTCTAAAACCAAGTTCAAAACCAAGTTTAAATTCAGCCTCAACTGAAGTCCAAACAGTCTCAAATCAGTTTAAACCAAGTCTAAAACCAAGCTTAAAACCAGTCCCAAACTATTTTACACCTAAGCTCGAAACCAGTCCAAAACCAAGTCCACATACTCAGTCTAAATACTCACATGGCCAGTGTAAGACCAAGTCTAAAACTAACTCTGAGCCCAGTCTAAAACCAAGTCCAAACTCATTATAAAAATCAGTTAAAACCAGTAAAAACTAAGTCTGAAACCAAGCCCAAAACCAGTCTAAAAACCAAATGTAAAACCAGTCTGAACGATTCTCAAACCAACCCAGAACCAAGTCCAAAATCAGAACAAACCAAGCCCAAAATGAGTCTCCAACTATGTTTAAAATTAGTCTAAATCCCAGTCTAAAACCAGTCCAGAGACAGCCTAAAACCAAGTCCAAAATCAGTCTGAAGCCACTCTGATACCAAGTGTAGAATAAAGCCTAAAATCAGTCTAAAACCCAGTCTAAAACTAATAAAACCAAGTCTAAAACCCAGTCTAAAACTAATAAAACCAAGTCTAAAACTCAGTCTCAAGCCAGTGTTAATACAAGTACAAAACCAAGTCCAAACTCAAGTCTAAAACTAGGTCAAAATTAGTCTAAAACGAAGCCCAAATTCAGTCTAAATCCCTGTCTAAAACCAGTCCAGTGCTAGTCTAAAACCAAGTCCAAAACCTGTCCAAAACTCAACCTCAAACCAAGTCCAAAATCAGTCTAAAACCAGTCCAAAGCCAAGTCTAAAAACAAGTCTTACAGCGGTCCAAAATGAGTCCAGAAATAGTTCAGAATTTTTCAGGCAGAGTAAGTCCTAAAGCCAAGTCCAAAACCAGCACTCAGGAGGTTCTGGTGTTGGTTTAGCGTCACAGTGACAGTAAGAAGGACGTGTTCTGGGTTTCCTTACCGCCGGGCCGTCGGTGGTCGTGTATCGTACTGTGATCTGGATCAGCCGGCCGGGTTTCACCGCTGCAGTGGGCAGGCTGATGTTGAGTGATGAGCCGTAGTCCGTGAACGGGTCGACCCGGTATGTAAGGGAGACGGGTTCTTCCAGTCCGGCCCCGGGGACCTTACAGTCTATGGAGTGGATTAACAAGGAGGGGTGGGTGTCCAGAACCAATGTGCAGACCCCTAGCTGGACCGGAACCAGGTCCAGAACCAGCCAGCCGCTCATCTCTTTCACCGCAAAGTTCAGCCGCAGGTCCAGGTGGAAGTGGCGCAGCTGGAAGCACCTGAAGTTTGACGCCGAGGCCACGTCCACCAGGGGGCACCGTGGGGACCCGGGAACCGGACCTGCCGAGGGCCGGCCGGACTCCCCAACGCACCGGGCCCCAGAGACCGGCAGGGATTTACGGCAGCAGCACAACGAGGTGGGGGTCTGGTGGAGCTCTGCCATGGTGGGAGCTAAGCCCAGGACTAAACCCCGCTTAGACCCGGACTAACTGCATCAACAAAGACCAGAGGAGGGCTTTAAACTTCAGAACCAACCCGGACTGTCTGTACTGGAACAGGACCAGAACCAGGTGTGACAACAGCTAAGGTCCCGTTTAAACCACAGCAGCCCTGCATTCAAAACCCAACCTTTATTTAAACCAGAAATAAATAAGGACACTTACTAAACGGGGACTGGGTGCTTCTGGATACCAGTAAACCCAGCACAGACTACACGTAGAGCCCAGTTTAACACAGGATTACGTAGCAACATTTAAGGCCCAGGTGTAGCCCATTAAAACCAGTTTCACCAAACTGGAGTGACTCTAAGTCTCTGTGTTCCAGACTGACTGCATTCAAAACTCCAATAAGAATAATAGTAGTTAACACCAGCAGCCCAGTTTAAGCCCAAGACTTAACTTTAGCCCAGTTTAATCCAGCAGACACTGATGTTATGTTGTCAAAGGCAACCTGCATTCAAACCCTCATTAAACAAAAGCCTAATTTAGCTTTTGATTGGAAATACACACTAATGAAGACACTTGTGACCCAAACAGAGTTAAAACTCGGGTTCTAGATCCACATTAAACCCAGTACCAATTACATTTCTAACCTAGTTCCACGTGAGACCAGTTCACCAAACCTAAACTCTGTTGTAGTCAAGCTAAAACCTCTTAGTCTACACGTGAGCCTAGTTTTACTTCAGATACTAGCTAAGTTTAGCCCTCAGCTTAACACGACTCTGCATTCAAAACCTCATTGACGAAACGTCTAATTTAACTCAAAGCCAAATCTAGATTAAAAATTAACACCAATAAGGACACTTGTGAGCCACAACTGACCTTAAACCAGCGTCTCTTAAATCTGCTGGACTGTCCTATATTTAGAGTCGGCTTTTAGCCCGTTTAAACACGGTTTAACCAAACCTCGTCTACATTTAAACCTAGTTTTGAACTAGACTCTGCCTGACTCTATAAAACGGGCCAAACTACATTCAAAAAACAAGTGAAATAAAGTCCACCTGAACTGAAACCTCAAATAAAAAAGCTTAAGGACACTTAAACCAAGAAGACAGCTTCACCCTCGGAACTAAATGCTAAAAAACTCAGTTTCACCAACTCAAACTAGACTTGGAGCCAGTTTCCGTCGCGGCTAGCTGCTGTGTAAATTAGCAGCTCTAGCGCACCAGAGTAGCTTTAAAAAACAGGCACTTTAAGCGGAGCAGAAATGTGAGTTAGAGGTCAGAACACTGACTAGTTTAACTAGTTTACCTGACCTGGTTAGCAGAGCCGGCTAATCAGCGCACAGTGTAATTAGCATTAGCCTCGCAGAGCGCATTATTGTGGGCTTTAGAGGACAAACATTTATGTAAAATCCATCAGGAGAACCACACAGACACCGGCTCCTCCTGTGAGCTCAGCCCGGCTCCCTGCTCTGCGTCCCGGTCACTGGATCCAGGTCCTCCCGGTGTCTTGCTGTTAGCTGGAGGTGAGCGGTGAGCCGGGGAGGACCGAGGCGGAGACGGAGGACGGACACTCCGGAGAACAAAGACACAGAAGACACCGGCGGAGGACCGACAGGACCGAGAGGACGGAGGAGGCTCCGCTCCGGACAAAACAGGAAGTAACAACAGCGGGAGAAAAGTTTGAGCAGGCCGCAGGGGGCGCTGTGGAGCACCGGGGACACGACGGAGGTCCGGCCGGGAGCAGCTGCCATTCATCAGCTCACCGGTTCATTCATTAATTAGGTGAAGCGTCAACAGGAGGCTGCGGTAATTAGCCAATTCATCCATTCATCTATCAAGTATTTCATTTAATAATTATTTATATTTTATTCACTCATTCACCCATTTATCATTCATTCATTTATTCATCTAAACATGATCAAACATTAGCAGTCATTATTTAATTAATCCATTCATTCTCTGTTACTTGGCTTTTTTCATTCATTCATTCATTCATTCATTCAATCATTCATTCATTCATTTACACATTTATTTAGGTGAAGCCTCAACAGGAGGCTGCGGTAATTAGCTAATTCATTTATTCACTTATTAAGTATTTAATCTATTAGTTCATTAATTTTTTTATTCACTCATTCATCCATCTTTCCATTCATGTATTCACTCATTTATGCATTATTTAAGGAGACAACATATTGCTGCAGTCAATAATTAATTCATCCATTCATGTTTTGTACTACCCAGCTTTTTTTCCTCCATTCATTCGTTCATTTACTCACGCATCCATTCACCTTTTTTTCATTCATTCATTCATTATACAAACAATTTATGCAACCATTTATCTATGAATGAACGCATTCATCCATTCATCAATTGATGAATTAATTTACCTATTCATTCATTTAATCATTCATTCATTCATGTAATTCCTTCCCTCAGTTATGAATTTCTTCATCCATTCCCCTGTTCACTCATTAATGTAAACATTTCTTCATGTATCTATTCATTCATTCATTTATGCGTGTATTCAATCACTCATCCAACCATTTATTAATTCATTCATTCATTTGTGTAAACCAGGGGTGTCCAGTCCTGCATGTTTTAGATGTTTCCCTTCGTCCAACACACCTGATTCACATGATCAGGATCGTTATCAGGCTTCTGCAGAGCTTGATGATGAGCTGATCATTTGAATCAGGTGTGTTGGACGAAGGGAAACATCTAAAACATGCAGGACTGTGGCCCTCCAGGACCAGGATTGGACACCCCTGGTGTAAGTGATCAACAGGAGGCTGCAGCAATTCATTCACTCATTCATCCATTCAGTTATACAATTAATTATTTATGTATTGATTGGTTTGTTCAAACATTGATTTATGTATGAATTTACTAATTCATTCATTCATTCATTCATCTATTTATGCATTTATTTATGTATTCATTCATTCAAATATCAATTTTTCATTTTATTCATTCATCTATGCATTTATTTATTCATTCATTCAAACAGTTATTATCGCACATTTGTATTTGTACACTTCATTTAAACTCATTTTACACAAACAGGTTGATAAAAGCTCTCGAAGCGACTCGATGCAGCAGCAGCTGGTGACTCGGTGACCTTTTGTATTTGGCTGTGGACGTATTAAAGTTTCATTTTGACCAATTAAAGGTTAATTAATGGAAGCAGCAGGAGACACAGCGTTCGTCTTAAAATAGTTTTATTGGCAGTTATGAAGTCGTCATGCTATAAGGCTGTTAGAAAAGTACAGCAGACACACAAACACAGACACGTTTCTACACAGCTGCTCGCTCACGTATCCAAAATACAAAATGACACAACTTCCACTCCACTTCCTGTTGGCAGTTAGTGTCCGTCGGCTGACGTTCACCTGGACAGGAAGTCAACGAGTCGAACGGACAGGTGAGTCTGACGTGGCCGGTTCTCACAGAAAACAGAATAAAACACAACAAACGTCACACTGAAGAGGATCGGACTGATTGTGAGTGTTTCTCTGTACAGGCGGCGCCTCTGCGCTGCCCCCTGCAGGCTGATTACTGATACTGCAAAAATACAACAGCTTCTGTTGCAGCTTCCTACTTTAATACTGAGCTACTTTAATAACTTATTGAAAAACATTTAAATATGTGATTTAACGGAGTTCCAGCAGAAGCAGCATTTTAAACAAAAATCTAATATTTAAAGTGTAATACAGCAGATAACATATTTATGGTACATTTCTGAACTCCATAAATCAGGAAAGTTTAATCAGCAGCTTCGACAAGTCTGAGCGCAGTCACTGCTCTTGCTTTTATTTATCTATATTTCATCAAAACTTATCAGTTTCTATGCGATTATATTGTTAAAGTGGTTTTGGCCGTGCAGCAGCGCCACCTGCTGTCTGGCTGCAGCCTCATGAACCCAAACTAACATCTGTATAATACTAATGCAGGACTTCCTGTTTTTATCACAGCTGAGAGCATCTTTAACCTGCTTCACTGGTGGGAACAAGTTTAGAGTTTAGATTTTAGAAGGTTTAATGGAGAACAACAAAGTGCAAATAAAGATTTTCTTAATTCAGTCATTTATGTTCGTATATTTTCTGATGTCTGCTACAGTTAAACATGGTGACGTTAGTGTACGGAGTTAATGAGCTTTTTTTTTTCTTTTACATTTTACATTTGGGTTTTCCATCTCGAATCATCAGGGTTCTTCTGCTCAACCATCTCGGATTTACTTAAACTCTGGATATTTAAAATGGTATCTGTGAAATGTTAGCTTCTACTTTCAGCAGGTTCTTTCGCACATTAAAATCTGAGGCAGTTTGAACAACAACATCTCAGGAACCATTAAAGATAAACGTATGAAATGTTCACTGTTGTTTCTCATCATGACATTGATCCAGAATTTACAATATTGGACAAGTAGATCCAATAATCTCTGAGTATGGGTGAGCACGAATTAACAAAAACAAAAATGCTCATGCAGAAGTCAACCATATGCAGCTGAATGTCTTTATAAAATATCCATATTTTATGCCAAATTTCAGGCCAATCAGAGATGGTGAAGAAGGAATGATTGTGAAACTCTGATGATTTGAGATGTAGCTCTGACGTCGGTCCTGTGGAGGGCGGCAGACTGAAAAAGGCAAAAATGAAAAAACTATTTAAAAAAAAAAGGCAAGAAAAGCTCACACATCTCCACGTTCTTTTGTATACTGCAAAAACACTTCCTTGTTATTTTTGACACATAATCAGTCCAGGTACTACATCTGCTGCTGTAAATCAATAACCTACAGTTTGAACATCATGTCTGTGTCGGCGGTCGAGCGAATGAATCAGTTTCTGAGTCAAACTTTCAGTCCAGTCAAACCGAACGTGACTAATAATAAATCTAAAAATGTTTAAAGGTTAAGAAGATTAAAATTAACAGTTTTGGACATTTTTTCTTTTTTCTTTTTTTTTTACAAGAAGAAACTACTGAAACCTGAGCAACCAATCACGTGATGCCAGGTCACAGCAGCAGCAACGACGATAATCAGACCTGCTTCAAATCAGGTCGTAAAAACCCACGAAAACATGATTAAAGACAAACATGTTGCAAAAAAGCAACAGCAGTAACGTCAGTGACTCGACTCTGAGATCCAGAGTCTTACAGTACAGGACTCACAGCACCTTCAGCTCAAACTGGGAGGAATGGGAGCACTGGGACAGCCCTCATCCTCCTCCTCCTCCTCCTCCTCCTCCTCAACCTCGCACTGAGATCTTGTTCTCCACGGCAGCCAGCATCGAGCACAGCCGAGAGTTTTCATTGGCCAGCAGCCTGGACGGCTCGTCGAACTCCACCACCTGAGCCAATAACAGAAGAGGGCCAGTGATCAGAGCAGTTTCTGGTGGATACTGGTGTAATACTGGTGTTATCAGATGGATACTGGTGTATAATGGTGTTATACTGGTGTTATCAGATGTACACTGGTGTATAATGGTGTAATACTGGTGTAAGACTGGTGTTATCAGGTGGATACTGGTGTATAATGGTGTAATACTGGTGTTATCAGATGGATACTGGTGTATAATGGTGTAATACTGGTGTTATCAGGTGGACACTGGTGTATAATGGTGTATAATGGTGTTATACTTGTTTTATACCTGAGGATGTCGTGTTATATTGGTAGATACTAGTGTTATGATGACGTATACTTGTGTTACCTTGGTGGATACAGGTGTAATAACGGTGTATACTGGTGCTTTTCTGGTGTTACATTGGTGTTATATAGGTGTCCACTGGTGCATACTGGTGTTATAATGGTGTATCCTGGTGCTGTACTGGTGTTATATTGGTGTTATACACGTGTCTACTGGAGCTATACTGGACTTATAGTGACTTTGTTACACTGGTGTGCTCTGATTGGCCGGTACCTGTCCCTGGTTGAGCACCATGATGCGGTCGGAGGCGAGGACGGTGTGGAGGCGGTGAGCGATGGTCAGCGTGGTGCAGTCCTGGAACGAGCTCCTGATGGTCTCCTGGATCAGAGCGTCCGTCTCAGCGTCCATCGCTGCCGTAGCCTCGTCCAGGATCAGCACCTGAGAGCAGAGCAGCCAATCAGAGGACAGAACACAGGGGGAGGGGCTCTAACCTGTCTAATCAGACGGCTGATGAACCCGTCTGTCTCTAATAAACTTGTCTGTCTTTTAGATGTATCTGTCTGTCTCTGTTTGACCCGTCTGTCTCTCACCTTGCACTGTCTCAGCAGAGCTCTGGCGACACACAGCAGCTGTCTCTCCCCCACAGAGAAGTTGTCTCCGTTCTCCACCACCTCCGACTCCAACTTCAGGGGCAGCTGGGACACCTGAGAAACAGACGACCAGAGAGACAGACAGGTTGGTGGCGCTGTAGGACAGAGGAAGTAGTGAAGACAAAGAAGAAGATAAATCCGCTGGACTTACACACTCCTTCATGTGACTCCTGTCCAGAGCGTCCCAGATCTGCTCCTCGTTGTACTGGTTAAAGGGGTCCAGGTTGGACCTGAGGACACATCGAGACTCACCTGATCAGCTACAGAACATCAGAGGACAGGAAGTCTACACCGTCCACATGTCAGGTTCTCTCAGGTGTTCCTACCTGACTGTCCCGCTGAACAGAACCGGGTCCTGAGGGATGATGGACAGTTTGCTGCGAAGGTCGGCCAGTCCGATGTCACTGATGTCCACGCCGTCGATCAGGATGGAGCCGCCGCAACGCTCCACCAGCCGGAACAAGACCACGCCCAGAGAAGACTTCCCTGAGGACAGAGAGACAGAATGACTGGGACGACAGAAACAATGTCCTCTACAGGCAGAAACAGAAACAGTTGCACCACCAGAGGGCAGTACAGCACTCTGGGTGTTTGCCAGTTAACTCCATTTCCTGCCTACCTGATCCGGTCCTCCCCACGATGCCAACCTTCTCTTTGGGCCGTATGGTGCAGGAGATCTTGTTCAGGACCAGTGGGAGGTTCTCCTGGTACCTCATCTCCACCTCCTTGAACACCAGCTCCCCCTGCTGGGGCCAGTCCATCAGAGGGGGCCGACCTCTGACCCGAGCTGGAGCCTCCTGGGACAGCGACTGAAACACAGAAAGCAAATCAGCACCAGAACTTCCTTCAGAACTTTTTCGTATCACAGCACTAAGAGTCTTAAAAACTGGAAAACCAGTGTAACCAGCAGAAGAAGATGCTGCTCCCAGTACCTGGATGTAGTGATGGATCCTCTCCACTGAGGTGAACCGAGCTTCAGTCTCAGAAGCCAAACGCACCGTGAACTGGAACAAACCTGTTAACTGACACACACACATTTGTTTCTTCAGTATCTGAAATTCGTCCTCCTCACTTGTTTCCTCTCCTGGTTTCCTCACCTCTCCGTGTCTTCTCAGGGTTTCCCTAAAATGTTTACTTTAGGGTTTTCTCCTGATCTTGGTCTGACGGTGAAGGAACCCCTGAAGTTAGTTTGTTTTAGGACATTAAAAAACAAGTAAGAAAAACACTTCCGGTGCCTCTGACTCTGACCTCAACATGGCCGAGTTCAAGGAGGTAAATGAAGAGGATGACTCATTCCAGACTCCCTGAATGACATTCATAATATATTCCACCCACATTTGTTGTTTTGTTTGCTGCTATCTGCAGAATAAATGTACTTTTTTTCTTGATTTAATTGGTTCCTACTGAAGTTTCATCTCTTCCTCCTCTGACCAGTAGAGGTCAAATCTATATGTCAAGTACCACAATAACAGTGATCACAAGAGCGTAAACATACACGTGTCTCCATCAGAATCACCTGCACAGCGTAGGAGATGGCAAGGCCAGCGTAGGCAGGAGAGATCTGCCCATGCATCAGGACCATCATCAGGGCGGTGGTGCTGATCAGAGCCACGCTGATCACATCCAGACGAACTGCCAGCCAGCGCATAGCACAGCTGAACAGGTAGAAAGGAGCCTGGTTCTGGTCCAGCAGAACCTGGTACCTGGAGGCAACAACACACAGTCTGGTGTTCACCTCCACAGTGACGCTCTGGATCTCAGGGCAGTTTGGTTCCTGGTTCTGAACCAGACCTACCTGTTGAGGAAGTCCTGTTCCCGGCCGTAGGCCTGCAGCGTGGCGAGGCCCTGGATGCTGGAGGTGATGTGGGACATGAAGGGTGACATGGTTACATTGTCCAACCGCTTCAGCTCCCGGATGAAGACCCTGGAGACCCCATGGAGTGCCATGAAGAGCACAACCAGAGGACCCACCGCCACCAGGAACCAGGGGAACACACAGCTAATGACTCCCAGGCAGAAGAAGACCAGGATCACGTTCTGGATGAACATCTCCGCCTGGAAGGGCAGACGAGTGTCGACTGGGGAGAGTCACAGGAAGAACATGTCATGACTCAGACAGTTACTGAACAGAACCTTGGACTGTGGTCCGGTTCCAACCCTCACCTTCGTCCATGTCCTTGGAGAAGCGGTTGAGGATCCGTCCAGTTGGCGTTGTGTCGAAGAACTTCATGGGGCAGCGAAGGATTTTATGGAAGAGCTCGTCATGCAGCTTGGAGGACGCTCGCAGAGTTCCCTGAAGAGACACAAGCAAAGACTCAACATCAACCTGGACTGGACTGAATCATCTGATCCTGACTGAACAAGACTAATAATCCAGACTCAACCAACTGATGTAGACTGGACCAGACAGGCTGACCCAGACTGAACCATCTGACCCAGACCGGACAATAAGATCAGTCAGCAGAATCATGTGGTCCAGACCTTGACGAAGGCGACGCCTCTAAAAAGCTTAAAGAGCAGCATGACTCCCATGGAGGAGGCGTAGATGGCAGCATACTGTTGCATCATCGGATTGTCCTTCATGCTGACGCTCACTGCCGAGCTGTTGCCTTGGGTTACCGTGGTGTTCTAGAAAAACAGAAGAGGAGAGGGAGGAGTCATGAGAGGACACAAGTCAGGAGGAGATACGGCAAAAGTGAGTGCAAGTAGGTGAAATGAGGAGACGGATGAGGAGGACACACTGAGCATGCTCAGCTCACCCCGCTGCCCTGGTTGATCCAGTAGCTGAGCCACCACTGGCAGAAGGCGGAGCTTCCCACGTTGAGAACAAACAGAGCCAGGATGAGCAGGCAGGAGGCGGAGCCACCGCATGCAGCCATGTAGCGCCGAAACGCAGGCCAGGCCACGCCCCCACACTGCTGCTCCTCCCCTTCAGGTCACATGGCCAGACAGAGGGAAACAGTAAAACATACGTAAAGAACTAAGGTCTGTTTCCTCTGTCACTGTGGACGTTTGAATAAAGTTTCTGTTACCGTTGTCCTTGACGACAGGCCTGTTCTTCTTCACTGATCCTGGTTTACTGTCTGCTGGTTTCCTCTGAGAGCCGCTGGACTTCCTGCTGGGAGCCTGAGACAGAAACAAAGAGAAACACAGTCAGAGAGACACACAGAGAGATACAGTCAGACAGACAGATGGACAGTCAGACAGACGTACAGGTAAACAAACAGACACACAGACAGACAGACAGACAGACAGACACCTCTATGTACGGAGTGTCTCCCAGCTGGAAGTGGTTAAACATGGTAGCGTAGTCTCCGTTAAGCTTCATCAGGTTGTCATGGTTACCCTGCTCCACGATACTGCCCTCCCTCATCAGGATGACATCATCACAGTCCACCAGGTACTGCACACACAGACACACCTGTCATCTCCACGGTAACCACCTGTGATGGGACATTACCGTACCTGTGGCGAGGCTCACCTGCAGCTGGTGCGTGATGAAGACGACGGTCTTGTGGCGTAGCTGCTTCCTGATGGCATTGTTGAAGACGTGATTGGCCACATGAGCGTCGAGCGCGCTCAGTGGGTCGTCCAGGATGTAAACATCTCGGTCGCTGTACAGCGCTCGGGCCAAGCTGATTCGCTGCCGCTGCCCACCGCTCAGGTTGGCGCCACGTTCTCCGATCTGATTGGACAGAAATATGATGTGGTCAGTCTGCGAGCAGGTTAAACCTGTCGGTGACGCAGGTGAGACGATCTGATGTCACCTCAGTGAGGTCAGCGCTGGGCAGCAGGGCGAGGTCCGGTCTGAGAGCGCAGGCGCTGAGGACAGACTGATACCTGCAGAGACAGACAGACAGCAGGTCAGTCTGAGGACATACCTGTCTGCCTCACCTGTCCCCCTCTCATCTGTCCTGCTATCTTATGACCTGTCCTGTCCCCCTTTTTACCTGTCTCTCACCTGTCTGCCTCAGCTGTGTGCCTCACCTGTCCTGTTTCACCTGTGTCTCTCACACCTGTGTCCCTCTCATCTTTCCCCCAGGTGTCCCACTCCTACTTGTCCTGTCTCCCTTTCACCTCTTCCTCACCTGTCCTGTCTCCCTCTCATCTTTCCCCCAGGTGTCTCACTCCTACCTGTCCTGTCTCCCTTTCACCTGTCCAGTGTTCGTCTCACCTGTCCTCCAGGTGTGTCCCTCCCAACTGCCTCCCCCTCACCTGTCCTCCTGGTACTCATGTCCAAATAGGATGTTGTCTCTCAGTGTTGCGTTCAGGATCCAGGCCTGTTGAGCCACGTAGGCCAGTCGTCCTCTAACGGCCACGCTGCCCTCCAGCAGAGCCATCTGTCAATACACCGATCAATAATCAATAATCAATAATCAGTCATCAATACTGTTTACCAGCAGACGGATAGAAGCAGGCAGGTAACATCACCTGTCCCAAGATGGCCGAGATGAGGGAAGTCTTTCCACTGCCCACACTCCCACAGACGCCCAGCAGCTTCCCCTGGACAGAGAGACAGATCTGAGTGACGTGTTGTCCTCAGGTGTTCCAGTTCTTGCTCCTGATTGGTGGACGTACCTGCTGGATGCTCAGGTTGATGCAGTGCAGGGTGCTCTGGAGACGCTGGGGGGCGGAGGGGACAGACAGCAGGGAAGGACACGTCTCCTCCTCTGGACTGGAGCCTCCTCCTCCCCTCAGCAGGGAGCCGGTCGCCTCCTCCTGCTCCTCGTCCTCGTCCTCCTCCTGCAGGACGGCCGAGTCTCTGCACCTGGACACCAGCAAACACACCTGGTTTGACTGGTTCCAACAAGTCCAAGTACGGTCTTTACAGGATTAACAGGACGAGTTCAAGTCAGGTCTCGAATCTTCGGTGGTTCAAGTCCCAAGTGTTCAGAGGACAAGTCGAAGTCACGTCTCAAGTCTTTAGAGGATGAGACCAAGTTGGAGTCTCAAGTCTTTACACCAAGTTCAAGCCTTAAGTCTTTAGAGGACAAGTCTCAAGTCTTTAAAGAATAAGTCCAAGTCAGGTCTTAAATCTCAGACGACAAGTTTAGCTCTGGCCTTAAATCTTAAATCAAGTCCTAAAAGAACAAGTCTCCAGTCGTTAGATTAAATAAATGAAAAGAATTGTTCATAATGAAATAACAATAAACAACACAATCATTAACTTTCTGACGGATCATCAGTCTGAACAGATCAATACAGAGACCAGTGTCAGATTACTTGTCTCTCTGTCGGTGTCTGCCGGCGGCTCGGACACACGGACTCGGCTGGGCGCTCTGCCCGCCCCCCTCCCACGCCAGACTGGCGCCACACATCTCCACGGCAACCTGCGAATCGGCAGGCAACGCTCGGACACTGTCGATCTCCGGCAGCAGGAAGAGACTCTGAGGACAGAGACAGAGGACGGAGGGTGAGACAGGACCGGACTGAAGGACACATCGGCTCTGTTCCTGCTCACTGAGCTCATCCACCATTAAACAGTCCATTCATCCCTCCATCCTCACAGTCCATTCATCCCTCCATCCTAACAGTCCATTCATCCCTCCATCCTAACAGTCCATTCATCCCTCCATCCGTCTGTCCTGCTGCCAGTAAACAGCTGAACCCTCCAACCTCTCAACACAACAAACCAAGAGAAACAGCTGATATAAATATGCAGGCAGGATGTCAGGTGGATTAAAGGTGTGCAGGTGAGTCGGTGTCACACCTTGAATCTCTCCATGGCCACTGAAGCTTCAGACAGAGACTTGACAGAAAACGGAGTGACCTTCAAGGCAAACGTCATGGCGTTGAACACCGTCACCACGGTGAAGGCCTGTGCACACAACGGAAAACGAGTGTTAGCGTCCTCAGTGGTTAGCTGCAGCCTGTCATGATGCTAACAGCTAAAAAGAAAGAAGCGATGTAGCAAGGCTAGCCTGTTAGCTACAACTTGGTACGTAACCTAGTATAATGCTAACATTTAACAAAAGAGTTGTAGCAAGGCTGCCCATTTAGCTATAATGTGGTATAGCGCTAACATCTACATAAAGAACTGCAGCAAGGCTAGCCTGTTAGTCAAACCCTGCTATAACACTAGCATGTAAGGAAAGAATTTTAGCAAAGCTACACCATTAGCTATAACCTGGGATCACGTTAACATTTAAGTAAATCATTGTAGCAAGGCTAGCCATTTAGCTTTGATGTGGTACATTGTTAACATTTAAATAAAGAATTTTACCAAGGCTAGCCTGTTAGTTGTGATGGGATATAAAATATGAAAAGACTACCCTTTAGCTATAACTTCCCATAATGGTAGAAAGAAAGATTAGTAATGGTTAGTCAAAGGCTATTGTAATGCTAACAGGGATAAAGAAAGAACTGTTATAATTTACCAGTTAGCTGTAGCCTGCAATGCTAATAAATATAAAGACTTGCAGTGTAGCTACATTGCTAACAGCTTTTGGAAGAGATGGGTGGTAAGGTTAGCCTGTTAGCTGCAGCTTAGTGCTAACAGCTGTATGAGCAGCACACCAGATCAGTGACCACAGCACTAACATGAGGCAGGTGTGCTTGTACTTTCTAAGTTTCGTACCTGAGCGGCTGTCAGGTCGTATCCTAGCAACATGTGGGCGGAGAAAGTTGCCACGCTGGCAATGACGACGACGATAGGAGCCACGCCCACCGTGATGCTCTGAAAGTAGCCCGTGAGCTCCAGGATCCGGCGCTCCTCGTCCCGGATCCCTGAGGGAAGACACAAACCGCATCACTGTGCACCTGCGTTACCGTGACAACAAACCGACCAGGTGAGTGCGGGTCAGGTGAGCACATACTGTGGACGTCGTGGGAGAAGGCTTTGACCCAGGCGTACATCTTGATGAACTTGATGTAGCTGAGGATCTCGGTCATCTTCTGCACTCGTCTGTCGGTGACGGCGACGCCCTTCCTCCTGAAGTACGCCGTCAGTCTGGAGCTAAACATCTGAGGATCAATAACTCTGATCAATACACTGGATCAGATTACACAAGTGGACCATTTATGTGCATGTGTGGAGGATTTCAACTCAGAAATATTGTAAAGAGACTGTAAAGGTTTTGCAATAGCTCTACACCAGACTGCCTTGGAAAAAACAACATTTTAACAGCACAATAATCTGAATGCTGAATACAAAACCATGGACAGAAGATATGAAGTACAGTATATTAAAGGTAGAGACAGGTAGAGCAGGTACTGACCATGGTGGGGTAGAAGAGGATGAAGACAGCAGATCCCAGCAGAGACGTTGGTCCCAGTATAAACAGGTTGTAGGCAACACCGAGGACGGCCACCAGGGGGCCTCCTGCCAACAGACTGCCCACTGCTGCTGCCTCGAACATCCGCTGACCGTCACTGGAGCACATGTTCACCAGCTGGGAGGGCGGAAGGAAAAAGAAAATAAAGAAAATAAACAGACACAAAAATATGACTCAAACAAACAAACAAACAAACAAACCCACCTGTCCCATGGTCTTGTCCCTGACGCTGCGCAGCTTCAGGATCTTGTGGAAGGCCAGACTGAGGACGGCGCCCCTCAGTCTGGTTCCGGTCCGGTAGTTCAGGGCCCAGGTCAGAGCCAGAGACCAGGACCGGATCAGCTCCGTGGTCAGGAGGCCCAGAACCAGCAGCAGCCCGTAGACCAGGTCCGACTCCTCCTGCTGGGTGTACTCGAGTAGACGCCTCACCACGAACGCCTGGAGGAGCAGCACAGCGACACTGGTTATACTGGTTATACTGGTTATACTAGTTAGACAGGTTATACTGGTTATGATGGTTATACTAGTTACACTGGTTATACTATTATTAATGTTAGTGCTAACACTCCAGCCATAGCAGTCTAACTGGTGTGACTGACAGGACCCGCTACAGCGTACTGGTCTAACTGGTGTGACTGACAGGACCCGCTACAGCGTACTGGTCTAACTGGTGTGACTGGTCGTGACTCACTGGTCCACTGAATCCAGCCAGCTGAGTGACGGTGAGGCAGAGGATGGACAGGAGGAGACGAGTCCGACAGAAAGACCAGACCACCGAACACAGAGACGCATCGCTGCCCTTCGATCGGAACTCCTCATCCCACAGAGACCAGAGCCTGCACACACACACACACACACACACACACTGTGATCAATACTGATATTGATTAATACACACATTAGAGTTTACAGAAATTCATTCATTAGCTCCGCCTACCTCAAGCTGTTGTCGTGGCAACTCTCCCGCTGTGACACGGGCCAGATGTCGTCCAATAGGAGCTGCCCTTTTCTGCGAGCGTGCACAACTAGCGGAGTCAGCCAATGAAACGTCATGAAGGAGAAAAGCCCCGCCCTGTCAACCGGGTGGCCACACCTGCAGAGAGACGCTCACCTGAGCAGGAGGTCCTCGCAAACACAGAAAGACGGAACATGACCGTGTCTCACCTGTTGCTCTCTCCATCTTTACTCTGGTCTTTAGCTCCGCCCTCCTCCAACTCTTTAGCTCCGCCCTCCTCCAGCTCTTTAGCTCCGCCCAGCTCTTCGCCATGGCGACCAGCTGATCTGTCCTCACATTTACCCAGAGCACCCTGATGACACACAGATCGATCAATCAATCAATCAATCAATCAATCAATCAATCAATCAATCAATCAATCAATCAATCAAACAAACTTTAGATTTTTAACACATTTAAACCTGTTTGTACAAATGGGTCTAAAAGCACACACACACACACACACACACACACACAGAGGAAATCCTGCCCTCTGATTAGCTCGTAGCTGCCGAGTCACTGGATGAATATTAACCTCCAGGTAACCATGGTGACAGGGCTGCTGATCTGGGTCTGGACCAGAACCTGCTTTCCGGCTCTTGTCAGCGTCACTGACGGTCCTCACAAGGACACAAGGCCCTGTGTGTGTGCTGCAGCCTCCTTTCTGAGCGCGCTCACATGCAGCATCTCCCTCAGCAGACACGCTGCCACTGAGCACGTGCAGAGCTCACGTTTTCCCCCCCGTGATGCACATCGCCTCCATTCACTCCGCCACGGCCAATCGGACACCTCGCAGCCCCTCAGCCCCTCTGATGCGGCCAATCAGAAGGCCGCTCAGCATCACCAGGAGGCGGGGCTTCATTATGTAAACAGAGGGGATGTGGGAGCAGCTTTGTTCTCATCCCAAGCTTTTATTTTGAAGCTGTCTCTTACTATTTTTCTACTTTTATTCTGAAGTTTTATGTTCCTATCAGGTATTGATCAGATATTAGTTCCTTATCAATCAGTTGTTTAACTTCCTTGTTTGTTTTTTTAACGTTTTATTAAAAGTATTTTACGTCATCGATCAGCGTGGGGCTGTGGCTTCCGATCATCATTAATTCATCTTGTGATTATTTTATTGATTGATCAATTAGTCATAAGTTCAGTTTGCAAAATGAATCAAATCTGGACATTTGATTTCTAGTTGAAAAATAACATTGAAATAGCTGCTGATTAATTTGACTGATTAATCAATTAACCAAATAACTGAAAAAATAACGGTTTTACATATTTAAAACAAATCTTTTTCACATGAAAGGTGTTATTTTTTAAAGGTTATTAATCATCAATATTGGTCAAAATTACAAAAACAGAACCTGCAACAACAATTTTCAGAATGAATTGATGATTCATCGTTGATCAAATGTCAGAAAATAAAAAACCTGGATTTTTTTTTCTACTAAAAACAGAAACTACTGTTTCAGCAGCACTTTGATTTTTTTTTTTTATTTTGATCTTTGATGCAGTTTTGTTTCCTGTGAACTCTTTCAGCAGGATATTAAATCTTTTATTTTTATTTTCTGTCCTCAGCTCTTAAGTCAAAGTGTGATTATGTCCTCGTCCCCTCCAACTCCTGTAGCGGAGCCTCTGAGGTCCACGAGCCTCCCGTTGAGACCCGTCGGGCTGATTAATGCGCTCTGAGGCGATGAGCTGCTCTCACCTGGTGCAGGTGGACCTCTGACCCCGGTAGAGACTCGCTCTGTCCAAAGTCATGTTGTCTCATCTTCTATCAGACCACATGGAGCTGTGACCTCTGACCCCGACTCGCCAAAAACCCCCAAAACCCGAAACCTCCGGAAAAACTAAAGAGCTCTGAAAGAAACACAAAAACAGAAAAACTCAGCAACACCGACGGATTCAAAGTCAGAACCATGAAGACAAATTGCTGAAATGCTGCAGCAGCCAGTAGGTCCTTGTACAATGACTCCTAAATGTGACATGACTCAGCATTGCATCACAGCTGCAGTAATCAGATTACTTCTTCATTCAGCAGTAGAGTATTTACTATGAAGTCAAATTAACTAACAGTTCAGATTTGCTATGATAACGATTGAGGCTCCACAGTAGGAATAAAACGCAACAAAAGTTCAATTTGGATTTCTGCTGACTCGTCATGCTGACTCATCATGGAGGACACTAGCGTCCACAGATTTCTGCTGACTCATCATGGAGGATATGAGCATCAGCAGAGATGTTCTTCATTCTTTCATTCCTAAGGCTGCTCTTTGCTTTAGGGGTTGCGTTGCTCCACATTTTTCTGTAAATACCCCAAAGATGTTGGGTTGGACTTTTACCATCCAGGTCGCAGCTTTCACTTTGTTCTTCTGTAGAAACTCCGGTAAGATTTTGTTCTCTGGATGGTTCTCCTGCTGGAATATTCCTCTTCTTCAAGCTGCTGCAGACTACCACGGTTATCCACAGTTTATTCATGGTGCGTCACACTCATGCTCTGGTATCATGATGCTGCCACCTCCGTGCTTCACTGTCAGGACTGTGCAGCACTGTGGGGGTCCTGGTTCAGGTTCACACCAAACATCTGGACTCCATCTGGAATGCATTTGTTTTGGTTTTATCTGTTCTCCCAACATCCATCAAGCTTCTTTTCATGTCCTTCAACAAAGTTACATCTTCATCAGTTCTTGTCCTCCGTCCATAGATGTTGATGTTCTGAAGTGAGCTCCACACTAACTCTGGTTTCCATCGACGACCTCGACACCACGTCTGAAGCAGCTGTCGTCTGTTTGTCACTGATCGATTATGAAACATCTGGAGTCATTGTAGGAGGACGACCACTGCAGCCCTGATCAGTGCTACTGTGGCTCCTTCTAGACCTCCTGGTTGCTGCTTTCGGTCCAAACCTGAGAAGGTTCTGCTGCTCACAGCTCGTTTCAGAACCACGTTCATGCAGTTAGACTGAGTCACAGCTGGACTCAGTTTTGTAGCTTTGAGTTTCTACTTTGAGGCATCTTCAGTCTTGTCTCTACAAAGTTAGTCTCTGATTGTTTAAGAGGAAACATTGGACCGTTCACCTCACAAACATGTGGATAGTTGGAGGAGAACATCTGGATCAGTCTACTGAGAATGTCCTCAGTATCTCCTCAGCATCAGAACTCATGAGTACTGCAGCAGTGTTACTCTGAAAACTACAATACTACCTCAGTAAAACCTGCAGTAACGCTACACAATAAAAGAACTTTCCAGAATAAAAGGCGCTGGGACGGAGGCTCCTTCACAGTAAAAGCCTGTGATGCTGCGGTTATCAAACAAACTGTCCTCGCGCTCGGGACACAGACCCGAGGACACGTGACGCTCGGTCCTCGCGCTGTCTCACCTGTCCTCCGTCTCACCTGTGCGTCCGTCCGTCCGTCCGTGTCCACAGCGCGAGCGCCCCTCGGTCCTGCCTGTCCTCCTTCAGGTCCGCTGTTCTCTGTAAACACTGAGGCTGCAGCGCAGCGGCGGCGGCGCGGAGCATCACGGGAGATGGAGTCAGAGTGTGACGTAGGCGGTGGGCCCGCTGCATTCCTCTGACATCATCACTGACGTAATAGACCCCCAACTGCCCCGAGTTCAGTGTGTCAGGATGTAGCTGTGATTGGTTCTGGTTTCAGGTGATCAATAATCAATAATCAGTCACAAATATTGTCACTGAACTTAATCTGCTGCATCATGGTTCACCTGGAGGATAAATCACCTCGTTTACAGGATTTATTTCTTCTTTGTTCAAACCAAACAAACCTGCAGCTGATAAACATTCAGACTATTGATCACTCTGTTATGTTCTCATTGGACTGATTAAAGATTTCAGCCGTTAAACTTTTCTGATGGTTCTGTTGAGTCAGATTCAAACTTAAGTTAAAAAAAAAAACACTTTTTAAATGAATAATTATTAAAACATCTGCTGATCATGTTTCTACCAACGGACCAGTTGGTGAATTAACTTTGTACTAAAACACTGGAGATGTTTATTCAACGTTAACCTTTCATCGTCCAAAACGACTGGAATGTCTCCATCATGACAAAAACTGTCCAAATTTATGTTTTTTTAATTAAAAAATTAAGAGAATTTACCCAAAATATCCAACATGACTCACAAAGTGTCCAAATATTTTCAGAACATTAGAAGAACTTGATCATTTAAAAGAACTTAGTAATAAAGTTTGTAATTTTCTTATTCTTCTGTTATCAGTTGACTCTCGTCTAGTTTCTGTATTTAACGGTTTTATTCGACACCTGAATCTTTCTGTTGTAATTTTATTGGTTTACTAATTGTTTGATTTTCTGCTCAACTGCATTTAATTGTCTTAACATTTGCACTTTGTGAAATGAAGATAAATTAAAATCACAGTTTATAGTTTTGATGAGTCGCATTTTGTTTATGAGAAAGTTAACTGATGGTTTAAATATTTAATCACATAAACTCTAAGCTCACATCAGCTTTGCTTCATGTTGGAGGTTTTGTATAATCTGATCTACTGTTGGTTAATTCCTGTAAATGACACGTTGAATATAAATTAACTCATGACAGAATCAGAACATTTATTTCAGTAAATAAAGTCACTGGTTTTTCATTTTGTGTTATTTTAGTGATCATTAATGTAAAACGTACAAACTCCTAAAACACTTCCCTCACAGACGATTCAGGAAATTAAACGTATGACATTTTTAATTCTTTATTTCTGACTTTAAACAGACTGATATAACTGCTGCTGCTCCTGCCAGTGAATCAGCTGTTACTGCTCCTGTAGACCCGGTTCAGGGCTTTGACTCCCTCAGTGCCGCCTCCTGCTGGCAGCCGGAAGGAACTTCAGTCAACAGAAATAAAAGACACAGAAGCAGCTTTGGACCCGATCACATTATCGATCACTTTATTGTTTCTGTACAAACAACAACAACAGCAGAGACGATGGTTTCCTCCTTAGACCCGAGAAGGATACAGCATCTGGAACACAAACAGGAAGACGTCAGAATAAAACAGAGGTCACGTGAAGTGTCACAATAAAACACCAGACAGGTTTTGGATCCGTTGATGTGATGTTTTCACTAGAACATCCTACACCTGCCCTGACAGTGTACCGCGTCATTCAGTATGTATACGACTGGGCTTGTGGGTCAGCCTGATGCATTAGAACATCCTGGTACTTGTACCGTGTTCTGGGACATATTACATCTGTTCCTCAGGTACTGTACAGTTTGCTAGTTTGGATATTGGCGCACAGTTTAAGTGTCACCTGAGCAGACTGAGACCAAACCCATGTTTAAACCACCACAGACGTTCTAAGTGGTTCTGTTCATACTACGACACCAACACAACTCATACAGATACGACACTTGTACACATCCTACCCTGATACATCAACACTGCTCAGGCTGTAACCTGACGACCACAAAGCAGGATTTTCTTTGCGTTCGTCGACTCAACAAAAACCTAAAACCTTGTTTCTGTGAACAACAGTTGGTCGTCTTCAGTGTGGCGCTTTGTTTGATGCATCATGTGACTCTTCTTCTGAACTAAATGGACCAATCGTGTGCCGCCTACTTCAGTCAGAGGAACAGTTTGTAATAGCGTAGAGTATCACAGTAAGAAACCCCGTTACTGAAAGGAAGAGAGATCCTGGTAGAAAACTGCTGCTGCTGTGAGTTCATGTATTTATTTTCCCTCTGAGCTGCACATTCGAGCTCTGAAACTATAACCGTGAGTCCAACAGTGTGTTCAGGTCTGACGCTGTCCCAGAACGAGGGAGACTTTTGGGCCACATCAAAGTGAAATTAATGTTATTCTCTGACGATTTTCTGTGATGACCACCAACAGACTGACCTGAGTTCAGCAGCAGCAGCAGCTTAAACCGACTTCTCTTTCTGTATCACAAACTGAACACGTGTAGATTCCAGCGACAACAATAAACCCAGTTTTCATTGGGTGGTTTCATTAACGTAAAGCTCAACAGGTTCACAGATAAAACCTGAGCCAAGAATCTGAGAACCATCAGGAGAACAACTGGTTCAAGAGAAACGCTTCTTGCAGCTGACTCGAACCCAAAACTACGAACAGAACCGACCCGGAGCAGGTTACCTCCACAGCATCAGTTACCATGGTGATCTAGCTGACACAGAAAAACTCAACAGAACCACAAACTAACACAACAAAGAACAAACAACCTGCTGATCAACATTTTAACGTCCACAAAGCGAAGCCAAGAATCAGAATAATTTCTAAAAAAACAAAAAACAAAACACAGAACTGGATCCGAATCCTTTTGAATGTCTGACCGCCTTCGAACACAATATCCGTGTCTGGAACACAGATTATGCAGGTTTTGATTCTTTGCCCATCGCACAGGAAAGACATTATTTTACGTCTACTTTACTTCACATCCTGGGATTAAATAAACCCCATGAGGGAAATCTGACCAACTTTTCTGTGGTCTGAGTGTCCCTGAACGCACCACCGCTGCCTCTCTGTGCATCTGTCTGACTGAATCTGCCTTAAATCCATTCAGTTCACTTTCTGGGACAACAGCAGCCAGAATCATGGTGATGATAACGACCAAAGCATCGGGGCACAAGATTAAATATAAACACTTGTAAACGCATCCTGTGCTATGAGTACAATTTAATGAGTAATCAGAAACAAGAAGAACATTATAAATACGGTTTAGGATTAACAGCTGAATTCAGTGCTGGGGCTGAGCAGGACGCTGACTAACGCCTCCGTCTGAGACTCACCACTCTGACTCTGTGTCCGATGGCTTTAGCCGGCAGGTTGCTGCTGAACTTGGCTCTGACCATCCCGCTGTTGCCGTGAGCTCTGGTCACCTTCCCCCAGATCACTCTGGTCTTGTTGGGTTTACCGCCGGGCGTCACGGTGTTCCTGCACAGAGACGTCCAGTCAGTTAGAGACGCTACAGAAACCTCCAGCGGTTCACAGACAACAACAACATGGACGTCCTACTTACTTCTTGGCCTTGTAGACGTAGGCGCAGCGTTTGCCCAGGTAGAAGTCAACCTCGTCTCTGGTGTAGCATCCCTCCAGCTTCAGGAGGGCCGTGTGCTCGCGCTGGTTCCTCAGACCACGTTTGTAGCCGGTGAAGATGGCCTTACTCCACAGTCTGAAACAGCAGAGCCACAGTGAGCTGGAGGCGTTTAAACAGGCAGCAGAAACGTTCAACATGTCAAAATAAAACCGGACTCAGAGAGAAACGTCAGAGGAAGAAGAAAAGCAGAAAATTCTCTCATGTGAGGAGATAAAACAGCAACATGTGTTCTCAGACTCAATCAGAATAACTTGATTATAGCTGGAGTCACAACAGAAACACTGGTTTTCTGCTCAGGTTTAACATCTCCATGTGTTGGGGGAACATATATGGAACGTTTAGAGACACTTTATGAGCTGTGAAGGTTCCTCAGGACCAGATGTTTGTTAGTTTGATTTACGTGTTAAAGACGAATCAAAACCAAAACTGTCTGATGAAAAACAAAGACTGATAGACTGTGACAAACAAACAGAGCCTTCATGTGCAGCTGGTCGATAGTTTATGATGTGAAATCGTGTGAACTTACCTTCCAGGCATTTTCGTCTTCTTCAGGTGAGTTCACCTGCAGACAGACACAGACAGAGTTTAAATTAATTGCAGAAAATAAATTGTGATGTATTTATTGTCAGTGCATTTCATTTATGATATTTTGCTCCTTAAACACTTTCACTGTGTGACAGTAATAAAGTCAGACATGCTGCAAAATGTTGGCAGTGAATAGAAATGAAGTGGGTTGATCAGAACCACAGCGTGCAGCCTGAACGCTGTGACACACACTGATGGACGAGTGAGTGAGTGTCCATCCACTGAACTTCAATAGACCTCAATTACAGCCACACCTCGTACATCCCACACTGCAGCCATAATATTGAAAGAATAATTAATTTTAGACGCAGAACGGTCGGTTTCATTCAGGGAGGGTAAAACGAGTGTCAGCAGCTCTTAGCCTACATGGAGCAGCTCAGACACTGTGAAGGTGGAGGGAACAGGTGGATTAACTTATTCCAGAAACACCAGTTCGGCTGATTAGAAATAAAGCAGCAGGAACAGCTTCAGCATCTCGTGACAGAAATCAAACCTCTTCTCTGGAAACACATGTTCCGACACAGACAGACTGTTCTAATACTTTTAAATGCATCACAGATATGTTTCTAGTCCACATATTGCCATTTATTTGACTGCTCTACTGTCACTGATTAAATCGATGTATTTCTGTCTCAGACTTGCACCAAACTGTTCGTTAACTTTTCAACACCTGAGCCGCTGAACACTACTTTTCTTTAACCTGCTGCCTTAGTTGAAATGCATGTGTGTATTTTGAGCAAATACTTGGTCAGCAAAGCTCATTCTGATTCTGAACTCCCAGAAACCAACTTAGGAACCAAAACAGAACTCAGTTCAGAAGCTGCCCGTTTTTAGGTTTTCTCCAGTCTCACATTGATCCGGTGACAGTTGTTCATACAGCCACGATGCAGAGCAAACAGGAGCTGCTCATTGACAATACGGCCACTTAATCATACAAATTAAAGACAAATTCAGCCTAAACCAGGAAACGGAATCTGGAGGAAATTCACAGCGATCCCACTGGTCATGGCCGCTGATTGAGTTACTTTATCAGTGAAGTCTGGCAGCACCGCTGGAGGTTCAACTGACAGAACCGAACCGGACACCAACTTCAGCAGTTAACACGTTTTTCTGCTGCACCTGCTGAGCTTCTGTCCGTGGACACCAACTGTTCCAGGTAACCCATCTGTCCGCTCCACCTCCTCAACTTCTGAACGCGGGTTCATTCACATACTTACACCAATGCTAACATGCTAATGCTAGCCCGGCTAACTTCTCACATTTACGTGAGACACCCGGTAACACACTCACACCCGGTAATACACTCGCACAGGGAGAACCGGCTCCACTCACTGCCGTGATAACCGGCTCTACTCAAACAAACACACCGACACATGAGGCTGAACATCAGGAGGATTCAGCCGCTCCGCTCGGACTGACCACCGCTCTGTTAGCCGCTGTTAGCATAATCATCCGGCCTGAATCTCCGCCATCAGTCCTCCGAACACGGACACAAACATACCGGAGAGCGAAGCAACAACTAACTGACAGCTGCCGGTGCTTATCGGCTGGAGAAGAACCGGATTAACGTTAATATTTCACGGTTTGGTCGGACATGTTGGCCCTTACCTGCTTAAAGTTCCAGAAAGATGGAGGAAAAGGAAGGCCGCAAGGGACGCCGGGAAATTACTGTAAACAGAGGTGTCCGCGGAGCGCCTGATCAAAATGGCGGTTTATTTTCATTGTTGAAATAAATATTTGAATGGAAAAATGTTTATCTTTCCACTCAAACTAGCACAAAACACCCATTTAATCACTAATACTTTTCTTGTTTTAAAATGTCTTTCTAAATAATTTTTTTCTTTAATTTGTTTTATTTTTATCATCTGTCATCCTTAACTATATGTAAGAATGATATAATTTAGCTAGTGTCATTAAATAAATCACTCTGCAGACTGATTTCTTGCTATATTTTCATATCTGTAAAGCAGTTCCAAAGGAAGACTTTCTCCCAACAGCAGCTGCTCCAACCACGGCCTCAGACACACTCTGCATTAGAGTCCATTACATGAATGCAGCCTCTTAAAGAGGATTATTATTATTACTGCTTTGACCCTTTAAAGTTGATCCATTACATCATTTAAAATCTTGCACATTTTCTGTCAAATAATTTGCATATTCCTGCAGATTGTAAATATTTCTATATTACTTTCATTATGTTTTAAATACTTGGAGTTAGTAGACTTACATTTTGTTTGGACAGAAAAAGCTTGGCTTTGGCTTCCCGTGTGCCAAACTGTCAGAACAAAATTTGCCTGACTGTCAAAGGAGCTTCCCAAACAGTCCTTTTTGTTTCTATCTCCCATAAATAGTAACAGACATACCATC